AGCCAGAAGCAGAACACGACAGGAGAAGAAGAATAATAAGAAAAAAATTAACCCGTAAAAACAAAGTTTTTCACTATAAATCCTTTATATGCGTGGCATCGGTTTTATTTTATTATTCATTTCTGTTTTTATTGAGTAAGAGTTTCATTTTTATCACATTAGTATTTTAAATTAAATATAAGGAAAGTCGTATATAAGGATTATAAGGTTTTCAGTTTTTGTATGATTGTTTATATTGTACATTTTTGTTGTTTTCTTGAATAATTTTCTGTGTTTAGGAAAAATATATGATTGTGTTAGTGAAATTTTTTTTTCCTAAAAAGTGGAAAATTTTGGAATTTTTTTTTCACGAAAATAAATTGTCACGCACAACGAGTCTGTGTGCAAAATGTCAGCTCGATTGGGATCACGGGAAGGGGGTTAAAAAACGACAGAAAGATTTGCACGGTCGTAAGCGCGCAAGCAAGCAAGCAAGTGAACTTAATATAAAGGATTTAAAAACACCCAAGCACATGTTCTGGACTATACTGGGTGGGGAACGTCCGGCCCGCGGGCCGTATAAGGCCCGCGAAGTCATTTGGTCTGGCCCTGCCAAGGCTAACCGCAGGCGGGACTCGAAATTCAATAAATCTAGGAGCAAACCTGGAAAAGCAGTTGCGAGTAGCAACATCATCAATACCAGCTAACATCACCACGCCTCGCCAAAGAGAAGCCATCACATCAGGGGTGAGTTAATTAAATGTTTGACCAAATATAACGGGCTAATTTTAAGTTGATAATTTTGTATAAATAAATTTGTATAAATATCCAAATGGCCCTTGGCAGATAAAAGGTTCCCCACGCTGAGTCTCGAGGTTTAAGTGCAACCCAGGGTTGTGTGTTCCGGCCTGTCCGACACGAGTTGGAAGAGACTTCTTGAATGACAACAAAATGCTTTATTTGAACGCGTGGTCATTCATTACAGCGCTCTCGTAACGTACGAGGTGAATAATAATAACTGAAATGTTTAAAGCGCCCTTCAGCGATCGTTCTCATGGTGCTATTCATAACAAGGCGGGAATAATTAAACAATGAAGCAAAGATGAAACTTCATTTGGAGCTTTCGTGACTGCAGGAATTACTCTTTGGTTCTTTCGGTAAAGTCACGTATAAAGATAAAATAATAAATTAAATACTAGCATGCGACGTTTCGATTGCAACACAAGCAATCGTCATCAGGTATAAATGAAATAGAAACACAAATCTAGTATACTTAGAAATGTAATGTAATACAACAGAGAGTCGGATAACATAACAGTCAACACCCTACCTGGTTGAAACACAGAACCAGAGACATATAGACATATATGGCTGTCTATATATCTGTAGTTCTGTGTTTTATCTCTCTCTCTCAAATTTAGAATTCTCAGGAAGAACGTAATCAACCAGGTAGGGTGTTGACTGTTATGTTATCCGACTCTGTTGTATTACATTACATTTATAAGTATACTAGATTTGTGTTTCTATTTCATTTATACCTGATGATTGCTTGTGTTGCAATCGAAACGTCCTATGCTAGTATTTAATTTATTAATTTATCTTTATACGTGACTTTACCGAAAGAACCAAAGAGTAAGCAAAGATGAAGTCAGAAAGACGGTTGAAAATAACGAAAGAGAGAAATCCATTTTGGTACGACAGTCAGCCCACTGGCGTCTGAGCCCGGCCACCCCAAGTACTGTTCTGGGCCACGGCTATAGGGGCCGTCCATAAATGACGTCACGCACCTAGGGGGGGTGGGGGGTCAGACATTTGTGACGATGTGTGACGAGGGGGGGGGGGTTGAGAAATGTGACGTCACATCAAAATGCGCAACTTTAAATAAATATAGACAACACGTCTACTTAATTAAGTAGACTTTTTAATAATTGTTTTCTCCTACAACACCAGAGTGCAGCGCCACATTAAATACGCACTACAATGACAATAGTTTAAAGCGATTTGAAGCATGTTTTATTTTGGGGGGGGGGCAGAGCTTTGTGACGTTATATTTGAGGGGGGGTCTGACTTTTTGTATACTGCAGAAGCACATCCTTTATCGGTTCCCTCTTCTCCAAAACGCGTTGACCCCCGCGGTGAAGTATGGCCAAACAACCCCGTCACGATCGACACGGGGTGGGGACTTTCATCCAGCAGTGGGTTGACAAAGGGGATTGTATTCAAGCATTGTTGTTACGCCAGCCTGAACGCTGTCTTGATGCTATGTTTACCTTCATGGCTCCGGGTCGTGTGCAGTTGCAAGGGGGGATGATGATCCCATCATCTCAACTTTTGCAGCGCCACCTACGGTTTAAGGACGGAATCATCTGGATAAGGCCCGGGCTGTGGATAGTTTCTGGTTACCTGCTCGGGAAATAATAATTATTCAACTACTACTATACGGTAAAAAAAATATTTAAAGCTTTCGTGACTGCAGGGATTCATATTCTTGGTTCTTTCGGTAAAGTCACGTAGAAGGGAAATAATAAAATAATAAAAATATAAAACAATCAAATTCTCACGACGTTTCGACTGCAACACAAGCAATCATCATCAGGTTTGAAATCCACATCAAAAAAATAAAAAAAAATCATGATAATTTTATTGTTTTATATTTTTATTATTTTATTATTTCCCTTCTACGTCACTTTACCGAAAGAACCAAGAATACTATACGGTAGTATTATTACATTCAATTATTATGGCTATGGAAATATAATTTCCCTGGAAATACGGCGAATGCAGTATAAACAGGGCTAGCAATTACAGTGAACGTCTGGTCACACGAATATGTACACAGCTATTCCTGATGCTGTGTCTTCTATCATGACACACAGGTGGGTCTCATTTCAAACCGTAAAAACATGTACAGTAAACCCTTGGATTGCGAGCATAATTCGTACCGGAAACGTGCTTGTAATCCAAAGCACTCGTATATCAAAGCACTCGTATATCAGATGTGATCACGTGACGCTCGGCAGACAAAGCGTATACACGTACTACTCGTATTGCAAAACCTCGCTCGTTTATCAAATTATTATTTAATTACAATTTTTGCTCGTCTTGCAAAACACTCGCAGACCAAGTTACTCGCAATCCAAGGTTTTACTGTACTTTTCCACACGCGTGTCGATATTGGCAGTGTTGACATTGGTTGGAATCTCGGTGTGAAGACTCTGAATTGCTTTGCATTGAATTAATTTTCAAGTTTGTAGATCGTTTCGCGTTACCGTGGAGAGACCGCTGCAGCTGAATGCTAACGTCACGTGAATGCAAAGCACCTGGGAGTTTCGTTACGCGGTGCATGGTAATTCCGGATGGGTCATTGAATTGAATCAGCAAAACGATCGTAGCACGGAACGTGTCTCAGTTGTGCTTGAGTTGGTGACAAGCGACATCTCAAGCTGTCTCTCATTGATGCCGTCAAGGATGACTTTTCATCACATTGCTGCGTGCATTATCTGTGCCAGTCTGGCACAAACATTAACCACTGTGCCTGAAGTTGGTTGATTGAAAAGCAGTAAATGAACCAAATTGGGATTATATATATTTTCTTTAAACTAATGATTTTCAACTATCAGCTTGCCGCAGTATTTGCTCACTGCCGTCGACAGAGAGGACCACTTCGAGGAGCTAGCAGGAGCCACGACCGAGCAGGAAGGCAGCCACACAGTGTGAGCGCGCGCCAGCAAATGAGAATCTGTATTATAATACTGCAGGAGGAGGAATCCGATGAGCTATAAAGCTCTTTTCCACAGGGGCACAGGGTAAGAACGTTACAACAAACAAACAAAAACATGGTAGGAGTTAAAAGTACAAAAATGGTAAACAAATCACCCAAACAGATACAAATAAAACTAAACCATCCCCATCATACCAGACAACGTCCACCGTGGCGTTAACTTCTTGTTCAAAAGCGACCTGGCCACAAATGATAGCTCAACTAAGTGGCGTATCATTTTGACAAGCTTTGCCGTCCCCAAATATATTAAGGTGCAATCTGCCGATTAGTTAATGTTTATAAACATACAATACCACTTCCATTGGCCTTCCAAATGGACTGGGTCAAATAACTGCATGGATAGGATCTCCTACAGCAGTGAATTGTCAAAAAAGGTATGCACATGTACATATAAGTGACTTTGTCAAGATGAAATACAAAATATTTAACAACGGATCTTGCAACAGGTTTCACATTGTCTTAATAAGCTTATATGGTATATTTTCTATGTATTTATTGTATTATTTCTCTTCTACGTTACTTTACCGAAAGAACCAATAATATTGCTTCTATGGTGTCTAAACTAAAGGCTTACGAACGGATGGCTCCGTAATAGCCACTGAAGGCAAAACTTTAACATTGTATTGGGCGTCTGCTTTGGGTCACACGACTAACTGTGTCCTGTGTGTCACAGTCCTCTCTCAGGTTCCACGTTTAAAAATACAGCACCGCATGAACAAGGCCACCGTGTGGTGGAGTGTTGTTTTTATTATTTTATTATTTGTGGAGTGTTGGCTACCCACACACTACAGTAAATGATAATTCTACATGGCTAGCCAGAATACATGTTTTTGGTATGTGTTGCAAAGCGGATATAGCAAAGATGCCCGGCCATTACTTAAAGGTCGCCCAATGTGCCTCTGAAAATAACGCATTCACTTCTTTAAACGAAAGCGTGCCTAACACTTCAATGGGCTTCCTTGTGAGACCCTTTAAATTACTTAGAACCGAGTTCCTCAATTGGTCCTTTAAATTACTTAGAACTGAGCTCCTGGATTGAGCCCTCACGTTTGCATGCAGCCTGAGCAGCAGGTTCACCGAGCCCCTCTGTGATCTCTGAGTGAGCAGAAGAAAATTCTTCCGCAGTTGAAGTGCTGGCACCACCAAGTCACTGCTCGGCACGGGGTGGGGTTCGATGCTGTTGGCACACACACACCCACAAAGCGCCGCTCGGCACGTGATAAGATCGGTGGCTTCGAGGCCGCGGGTTACATTTCCGCTTCGGTTCACAGGAAATGGTTTTTCACGAGTACAGTCCCAGAGTTGCGCACGGCGTGAGCGTTGTTGTCCCACCCCTCCTCCATCCCTCTTCGTGAGCTATCCGGGGACCTTTGCCTTTCGTGTCTGGGAGTTGGCGTTACTCCTGCGCGCACGCGCGCCTGCCTGGACGTTAGTAACACTCCCCCAGCGTTCTTTGTGTGGGGGTCACACAGAGGTACACACACACGCATCCTCGGCGTGCCAAGATAGCTGAACATTTGGGAGATTCAAGCGGCAGCAAGCATAGCTGGTGAGCCGAGGAGGCGGCTAACCAACGCCATGTAAGTATTCACTCCACGGCGAGTGGTTGTGTATGGCTTTAAACATTGGCTCGCGAGGCCACCACCCCATTTGTATTTGCCGTTTTGCTATCGCGACATTTTTGTTGTCGTCGAGACAATATCTCCGTTTTGCCGGTACAGAATAAGATCGTTAGCTCCGTCGCATGAAACTCCCTAAGCCGCGCAGCGTCGGTCGGCGTGTTGTTCGCTCTCCAATTGTTAGGCGCCTGTTGATGGCCACGGGGGCACGGGGCCCTCTTTGTTTGACCTCGAGCAGAGTTCGCCATTCCGGTCAGGGCGGGTTTGGTGAAGATGTTGTGGGGGAAGGGTTAAGAAGGGCGCGTTAGGGGTTCAGGACATCACTCGCCGCGATAATGGTTACGTTTGTTCCCAGTGACTTGTTAAAACAAAAGCACAATCCACTAATTACGGAGCCAAACGAGCGTGTTGATGTATCTGCGAAGCGTTAAATAGAATAAAACAAACGTGTCCAAGAAAGCCTCACAACGTCTCATTACGTGTTTTTGTTTAGGACGATGCTGTTGAGATGTTTGCTTTAACCTTCCCCAGTGTTTTATGAGTTTGTTTTATGACGGCTCTGTCGGGTATTGGATGGTTATATTAATCATTGACATCATGCCGAGACTGTGATCGAAAATGTATGCACGAAAATGAAACTTGTAATGCAAAGAGTTGGAAAACGTGTCGAGTCAGGCAGGTCCTGCTGGCCAGGACTGCGAGAAAATGGTGGTCGGAGCCAATTTTACTGCCACCAAATAAATGACTCTTCGGATTATTTCAGATGCCCTGTCATCACCAACCCAGTGGGAGACTCGTAGTTTGGAAGGCTCTTAACTCTACCGTAGTTTTACGCTCCGCCAACGCCGAGGAAGATGAGGAATTGGCAAAACTACACGAAGCCTTCTTAATCTCTCTGCTCAAGCCCTCTCGTCGTGGTGGCTATGATACCTCGGCATTGGCATGTATCTCCCGAAACGCACTGCCGTACACAAGAACAGGATAGTGGGCAGGCATGTCTTTTTTTTAAGACGGCTAATTGGTCATATATTTTTTTTGTATCATAAAAAATCAACTCTATAGATGTATTTTTGTTTTGTCTTTCGCTGTGTTTTTGTGAGCACCGCGTGAGCTTGCTTTTTTTTATCTGCACATCGGTATCGAATGCACCGTGTACTGGTTATGTATTACAGAGACCAGCACCACAAATACTAAGATCCCCCGTATAGCCTTAACAGACTGTAGGGGCAAGCGCTGTTAGCGAGCACCTATGAAGGCCGGAACGGTACACGAGGGGGTGGGTGGCCAGCACCACGCCCGACCGTCTTTGTCTCCCTAGTGGCAATGTTTACACACCGCACCTGGTACTTATTTGAGGCTGAGTCGACCTAGGGGAGGCCCGGGACCGGTTCAGATTATCACACACAGACACACACAGATACACACGCACACGGTCAAAAAGTGTGCCCCGTAATGGGCAAGGGTCAATCTTCATTCTCCTTCCACGTGTCGTGCCGCACTGCTATACAAACACACGTGATGATGCTTCGTCATACCCATCGTATCTCGACACACTCGTCAACAACATTGCCTTCCAAGAAAAAAAAAGAAATCGGGAGACGTTTCTGGCAATAGCCCTTCTTCAGAGCATCATGTGCGTGAATAGGAATCGGAGAATGGTTTACGCACTGGTTTATTCTTCAACCCACAGCAAAACTCGGTCCCAAAACCAACCGCGAACGTGCGTCTCGTAGCCTCAACAGCACGCCGGGTCCGTGTGACGTCAGCGCCCTTTAACCCGTGCGTGTGATGGGTCCGTGCTATGCTGAGTGCGGAGATTTCATGTCTGCGTGGTGCGAGTGCGTGAGGATGGCTCGCAGATCACTTACATGTGAATAATTACAAGTATGTATAGCTTTTACAAGGCTTCAAGTCTGCGTTAACCACACATACTTGTGGCAAAACAATGCATTTATTATAAACATGTCCTGATAATTATCAGAGCATGTTTGATTGCATGTTTCGCCACATGTACTGTGTGTGGTTAATGCAGACTTGATGCCTTGAAAAAGGTTCCTGTTTGGTGTTTGAACTTAGTAACCTCTTTTATTCCAGAAAGGGTAAACAACCTTGATTTGAAGCTTTCGTGACCTGCAGGAATCCATACTGGTTGTTTTTTTCGGAAAGTCACGTGGGTAAAAAAATAAAATTAACAAAACATAAGAATGTTTCGTGCAAATTAGTTTATTTATTTTATTTTTTGCCTACGTGACTTTACCGAAAGAACCAAAGAGTATGGTAAACATCCTATTCTTAAATTCGCATCATTTTGGTTACATTCCTGGCAAAAGGGGTCCCCATAAATAATATACAAGAGTATGTGTGTATAGAAGTAGATATACATGAGTATTGTCATCACATTTAACTGGTCTCGTTTTCTTTAATGGCCGCGACTCGCCAAGGCTTCCCAGAGAACGCTGTTTCTCCACAACAATAGAAGCCACGATCCATCTATTGTTGGGAAAAAGTCTCTCAAAGCTGTTGCCTTCCCTCGCTGTCATGCATAATCGTAGGCAATAATGGTAATATAAAAGGGAACATTGGTTTTTTTTATCGATGAAGGCTTCATTGAGTCTTCTTCAAACGATGTTTCCACTTTAGAGTCATGTTTTTGCCAATTCCATTATAGATTCGTTTTTAGTAGATTTCGTGGTTGCCTTATGTTACTCAGTTGCCAGTCTTGAAAACCTGACCCAAACACACACCCCCTGCCTTGCTCTTAAAAATAGGAATTCAGACAGCAAATACGTACATGACGCTTTAAAGGTCAAACTCTGTTTGGTACAAAAAAAAACACATTTGTTGCAATCCCATTGAAGGCGTTCCTCATTCTACTCTGGAGAACTTGTTAACATGAACACCACACAGCTGCAACACGTTCCTCCACCACATGGGTTATGTTCGGACAGAAGCTACCGCCGATTGCGTTGACACTGGCCTAATATTTGTGATACTGAAGTCGACATAAACCCTGCACATGCTGGGCAGGTGTACGTAACACATGGTATAATGTTACATTGTTGATGCACACTCGCAGAGCTGTCTCGACAATAAGTAATATTTAAAACAACTTTTTGAAAAACACGCTTTTATTAAATGTACTAGTAATGGCAGAACTCCAGGAAGTGGCCCCGAAGCTTGCTATAACGTAAGGGACCATGGCCAATTACAGCCAACGTCATTTGATTGTGGATAATTAGACCCAAGCCGAAACATAACATATAAAAAATAATGTTTAAAAATATATATTGTTTATGATAGAAAATAGTATTGTCATCAGTATGACATAAGTATACCAAGTTTACACTATGAGACCTCCTTTACCAGTGGCAAAATATAGTAGTAGGTTTTTACCCTTTAAACTGGTACAAACCTGACACCTTTATACAAGGCATCATGTTTGCAATAACCGCAACACAAGCAGTCAAAATGCAAACAAAAAGAAACAACTCCGATAATGGTAATGATATGCACTGTCCTTTTGGCGTCATCTGGTCTTTTGGCGTCATCTGGTCCAACACCAATGGAGACTAGGCTCGAAGGAAAGCTGTCTCGGGTGTGGACCAATCAACTTCAAGGACAGTGCATCATTACCATTATCAGAGTTGTTTCTTTTTGTTAGCATTTTGACTGCTTGTGTTGCGGTTATTGCAAACATGATGCCTTGTATAAAGGTGTCAGTTTTGTACCAGTTTATAGGGTAAAAACCTACTACTATACCAAGTTTGCAGTCGATACCACATTGGGAAGTGGGTTAAAATGAGTTACAAGATTTGAGGATACTACAACAACGACAGCAACAACAGACAGAGTAAATTAAAAGAAAGCGTGTGAAAAGTAGGGCAGTAGTTGAAGGTTGGAGACGCACAAATGTTAGCCCAGTGCGGTTATGTTTGTGATACGTGAACAAGGTCGAGACATGGAGAGACGCAATAGACACAGAGTTTAGAGGCCTATAGAGAGAGAGTCACCGTAGCTCAGTGGGCTTCACCTGGTAAACACAATACAGGCGTGTCTCGTCTAACCAGCGTTCTTTTATACGAGAATTCGCTAGAACGAGCAATTTGAATTTAGAGCCAATTTGTTTGCAAAACGAGCAAAATGTTCGCTTATTGAGCGGAGACCGACCCATAAATATGCTTCCCCTGACGGCAGGGGGCGCACTGCGGCCCGCCAGTTTGTTTACCAGCTGTGCTGCATGAAGCGCGTGTTAGGGGCCATCCATTGAGTACGAACGCAAAAAATCTTGTCAAAACTTGACCCCCCCTCCCTCCCTGTACTCACGTGTACTTTTTACACCCCCCCCTACCTACGTACGTACACTTGACGCCCCCCCCCCCCCGAATCCTATAGAACGGCCGATATTTAATCCACGCAGAAACGATCAAGGATAAATAATATTCACGTGTTTAAGAAAGCAGTCCACCGCCGGACTATCTAACTCATTTAAAGGCCAATGTAGACACATTATTATCGAGGCTTCACCCCCCCCCCCCCCCCCGTTTGCTATACGTGCATACATTGTCAGTAGACCCCCCATACGCAAGCTACGCATTTGGGTTAACCCCCCCTCCATGCGTACGTACTCAATGGATGACCCCTTATCATGGGTGGCTGGGTGGGTGCCGGGAGCGGTGGTGCAGTGGTTAGCACTACGCTGCGCTACGAACCCGGCGACTCGGGTTCGATTCCCGCTCACGGCCAACACCAGTGACGATTAACTGAACCGGTTCTGGGCCTCCCCTAGGACGACTCTGCCTCAAATGAGTACTTTGTGTGGTGTGTTAAACTTCGCCACTGGGGAGACAAAGGCAGCCGGACGTGGTGCTGGCCACCCACTCCCTCGTGTGCGTATCGGCCTTAATAGGTGCTCGCTAACAGCACTTGCCATAAGTCTGTTAAGGCTGCACAGGGGATCTTGCACTGTGGTTCTTGATGTTTGGGGTTACATTTGATGTATTACTTTATTTTAAAATCATAGTGCTGTTGATTTCTTACGTGAAAAAAATTACCAAGAGCAGAACATTTTGGGCGTGACACGGAGCCCAGCTTTTAACACGGCAGTCACCGGGAAAACGACGGTCGTTTGACGAGTTTTCTCTTACTGACCAATTTTCGCGGAACGTATCTTGCTCGTTAAGCGAGACACGCCCGTAGTTTAAATGTTGTGTTTAGCTACAAACACACTTACTTCACAATGCTCGCCAGTGTGAGTTCGTGCAGGGCTAGGACTGCTTCAGAAATCACCACTGATACGTATCTTGGCCAGGTATCGAACTCGGGCCACTGGTAAGTGCGGATTGTGTGAAGGGCAAGGAGCGAGGCAGCATGACTGAATCTTGCATCACTTTCCGCACCTGTCGGCCATGGCTATGAATCAAACTCGAGTCGCAGCGCGCTAACCACTGCACCCACCGCTCCTGCGTGTACATACAGGTCAGCAAATTGAACCTACGTGAAGCCCAGCGGTGGGGGTGGTGCCCCTCTATCGGCCGCGTCTCGCTGAGGGCGTAGTACTTCCCCGGGAAAAGGATGGAGGTCGAGGAGGGCAACGCTCACGCCAGTGAGAAGTCGCCGCTGCTGGGCAGATTGCCCAGGCACAGCTACGCGTGCATTAACAACTGCCCCACGTGCCGAGGCACTGGCCGCGTTCCGAGAGGTGAGATTCCTGTGTGTTGGATAACAGTCCAGTACTTTGGCAACTGCTCATGGTTTTTTGCACAATGTGACAAAGGATGAATGATTTTGGTACTCGTTTCCGTGTGTTGTTTGATACTCGTGGTTTTCCGGCCTGCGCTATATTTGATTCTCTTTTGATGGGTTCTGTTGTCATCAGGGTATGACAAGTATGACAAAGTGTAGCGAGTTGATGGCCTCAGCCTGGTCACCAATGATTGCACATGACATTCGGGTTTGCACTTCGTTCAGAAAATTCAAACAATTTAGAATTTTAAAAAATATCAGTTTGACTCGAATGCAACAAATACTTCTCCCTGTGGTTGAAAGTGCTTCGTCCTTACCGTTTGGACCAGATGCCACTTAAAGGGACATCAGAAATAGCTCTGTGATGTCCACCTCCGTGGGCCGTACTAACACAAAGGGTCGCACTGCTGTGTGAGATATCCAAATGGATTATCTGTATCATGCCATGACTCTGATAGCACAATTCTGATCAAATTTGGGGGGCAAAGACTGAATATTTATTTTATAAGACCAAAGGTTATTTTGAGCTCTCAAGCGTCGGGGCATTTTCCATCTATCATGTGTACGAGTGAGTTGCATTAAAAGTGCATTGACAGTGTCCTGTGGTGCACTACGCAATATCCCCCCTGTATGTCTCTCCCGTCTCTCCCGTGTCCCCTGTGCAATGGCAGACGAGGCGAACAGGCTGGTGGCACTGATTCCACTCAATGACCATCGCCTAACGCCAAGCAAAACGTAAGAGCGCCGGACCTCCCAAGGCCAAGAAGCTAACCCATAAAAATCCAAATTTGGCAATAAGTGTGATCCCTAACTCTAACAAACTAGCCAATCGTCCGCTAATGCTCACTTGCAATTACTCTAACCCTAACCCTAACCTCACGTTCAGCACATTGACTGGTGGTTGATGTTAACTACCTCGTCTGGTATAGAGGAGGTCGTGGGTTCGATCCTGACCCTTGACGCCTGCTGTATATTTGGAGTTTGCATGTTCTCCCTGTGGTCAGGTGGATTTTTATCCGGGTCCTCCGTTTTTTTTCCCCTCCACATTTATAAACGTGCGTTTCGAGTTATTTGGCTGTGATACATTTCCACGTGATAAGCCACTTTATTGGGCTATCATTTGTGGCCATGTCGCTTCTGAAAAAGAGCTATATAGCTCAGTGGGCCTTATGGTAAAATAAAAAAATAGCTTCATCGTTGAGTTTTCATGTTTTTGTCCACTTTTCAATCCTGCTCATCACGGCATTTCATACTTTCTCCGCCATATGTCAACGCAGCAACCGAGCAGCTCTCTCTCCAAGCAGTGGGGCCTCTGAATGTTTCTTCAATGCATGTACATTCTACTCTGCACGCACTCGCGCGAGTCGGGTGCATTGTTGACCAAGTCTGAATTTACTGGTAGGAACCACCTGGTTCCACCAGCCCACAGGGGATTATTGTGTCCGTCCGTCGCGCAGGGAGGGGCTGGGTGGGGAGGGAGGGGCTGGGTGGGGAGGGGCTGGTCAAAAATAACGTAGTGCCCTTATACAACTCAACGTTTAACCTACTCACGCCGGCTTGTGCCCGCCCTCACAGTCAGCCATATTTGCGGAATACACCACGCCGCCGTTGACCCTGGCCATTGACCGAGCAACCCAACGTTCCTACCAGCTCCCTCCGCAGGAATGTGTTATAAATGAGCATTCGGAGGTGGCTCAGAGTTCAGTGCCAGGAAGCCGCCTGTGCTTAAACCAGGTTCTTAAGAGGCGAGAGCGTTGGTAGCCTCAGCCAGGTCACCAATTGCTTAATTTGGCAAGAAATTTAGCTCTTGAGAATTAAAAATATAAATTTCACTGACATTAAATGAATTCTCCATTTCGGGGCAGGTGCGAGAGTGCTGCCCCCTTTCGCGTGTTTCAGAGGTCACTTGAAGGAATCTCAGAGGGATATTATATTCGCGTTTGCGGGGCCGATTGCAAAATCAGGATATAAACTGGGGGGAAACACGCAAGCAATATGCAATATTGAAATACAATCTTTTAATTTACGTTGTGCTTAAATGTCTTGGCATACATATCAAAGCACCCTACACCACGTGGCAGCTGTCCCTGTGTGGCACGAGATGACTCGCTTGTCAGCACTGGCAAACAAGTGAGCATTAAATCTGCCAATAGGGGGTGATAGTTGCAATATAGAATCTGAATTGAATAATTTGAAAGTAATTGTTTTTCAAATTTTAACACGGGTGCCCCCACGCATGCATTAGCATACTCTTTTCGAACGAAGTCACGGGATCTTTAACATCCACTGTGAAGAAGATGGCACCAATTTTACGGTGAATGCTCCTACAGTATTAACCAGGGGCAGCCTGTTGGATTCGAACTGCAAAAGAAACCTTTACGACAATCTGCGAAACGCGTTATCATCGATCGGGTCACGTCACGGGTTCTTTTCTGCTCGGCGGGGGAGGGGGGTGTGTCCCGCGGCAAGTCGTGCGCGCGATGGCAGTCATACGAGAATGTATCCCCGTGCCCTGCAGGTTGCGGTACGTCCTACTCTCCATGCTCACTTGCCTCTTGATGTCGGGGCTGCTCATCTTCTTCATGTTTCCCCGCTCGGTGCTCGTGAGCAATGGGGACATCGAGTCTGTCTATGTCTTCTTCAGCGAGAACAGCAACACCGTCATCATGAATGTAACGGTATGTTGCCCCGTCGTCTCTCGGTTACAGAGAGTGTCCTCGGCAGTGCTTTTGTTTACATAAACGTGTTTTGGATAGACGTGCAAAATATTGCACGACTGTCGGTGTAAGGACTGGTGAAGATTGGTAATCACGAAAAGGCGGAGGGTTATGGAAGACCGCATCGTACGTAGCCAACCGTGCACATCGGAGGTACTGGGGAAGGACAAACTAAACACAAAAAGCAATTCTGAACAAATTCGTTTTCCATCTAGATTGAAAAGTGCATAGCTTCAGTGACTTCCTAACAATTTGGATTTGAGAAACACTGGTCTAGAAGACATGCTACTAAGGGGGCAAGGAATGAACTTTTTCTCATCCTGTTCTGTATGTAAGCATAAATAAGAAATGTAACTGCGTATGAAAAATTGCCTTAATTTACCCTGGAAAGCCTCACATTTTCCAGACTAATTTTTACTCACTTTTTATTAACTCACTCTGTCTGTTGTTGTCGTTGTTGTCGTATCCTCAAATCTTGTAACTCAATTTTAACCCACTTCCCAATGTGGTATCGACTGCAAACTTGGTATACTTATGTCATACTGATGACAATACTATATTCTATCATAAAAAATATAAAACATTTTAAAAAAAAATGTATATGTTATGTTTCGGCTTGCCTCTAATTGTCCATGCTCAACTCACGTTGGCTGTAATTGACCACGGTCCCTTACGTTATGGCAAGCTTCAGGGCCATTTCCTGGAGTCGTGGAGTTCTGCCATTACTAGTACGGTACATTTCATTAAAGCGTGTTTAAAAATTTTTTTTTTAATATTACTTATTCAGGAGGGACTTGCATTGAGATATTTGGTGATTGTGGTGGTGGTGGTGATGTTGATGATGAATGGGAACTTTTGTTTCCCACACAGACCAGCATCGTCATTGAGAACAGCAACTACTACCCCATCGACCTTTACAGCACGTGCATTCAAATTGAGTTTGGTCACAATGTGCTGAACAAAACCTGCTTCGACAAGGGCCTTGTGGTGAAGCCTCATAGCCAGGGTCAAGTAAGAAGCGCACGCAACATTTCCAACACTCGCTTCGAAACACTGTTTCGGGAACAAGTGCTGTGTGGTATTGTTCTAATGTAGCTTACCAAATGTATGATTTTGTTTTGTTTCTCTTAACCTCTTGGTTTCTTTTGTTTAGGTAAGACTATCCATTATTCTGTCGATATTTGGGATATAGTAAGTATATTTAGATTTTTTGTTTGCACACAATACGGATGATATAATCCATCATGCATAACAGAGCATCGCCGAGTATCTAAAGACTTCTTTTCGGGAAGGTCTTGCTACCTTTGGGATGTTTACATAATTTCATGAACAAGTGTTGTTTGGCTTCATGTGGCAGGACAGCAGAGTGTCCAGATAAACCCCACCACGCATACTAAACCAAACCTTGTAGCTCTTTTTCAGTAGCGACCTGGCCACAACGAAATAGCTCAACGAAGTGGCTTATCCACGTGGACATTTATAGCAGCCAAATACTCTTAAATGCGCGTTTCTAAATGTGGAGGGAAAAACCGGAGGACCCGGATAGAAATCCACGCGAACATGGGGGGAGAACGTGTAAACTCCAAATTTATACAACGGGAATCAGGGTTGGAATCGGACCCACAACCTCCTGTATACTAGGCCAGGTAGTTAACATCTCACCACCACGGCGCTTAGCACGGATGGATTCAATAATCCATTGCCATACTGCCGTCTCCTAGAGCAACCTCGTAGCCCTATGTACACAAAAACGCACACATATACTGAGAGTGTGATCGTCACCATTCTTGCGTTTCAGTGGATACTGCTCCAAGCCAACAATCAAGGTCCACAACGTGTTCTTCAAACTGCAGTAAGTGGAAATGTCACCCGTTTAAAATTACTCCTCAGTGTTCGCCTTGAATATAAACGAACCTTGACAACGCAGAAGTGCGTACGCCGATTCGGGTGAGTGAGGTGGGGAGCAGTGGTGTCGTGGTTAGAGCTCAGTGCTCACGGCCAACACGGGTGACGATTATCTGAACCGGTCCTAGGCCGACTCGGCCTCAAATGAGTACCTGGTGCGGTGTGTAAACATCGCCACTTGGAAGACAAAGGCGGTAGGGCGTGGTGCTGGCCACCCACCCCCTCGTGTGCCGTGTCGGCCTTCATAGATGCTCGTGAACAGCACTTGCCCCAACAGTCTGTTACAGGCTACACGGGGGGATCTTTGGTGCATGGTAAGTGGAGGCAGTAATGTAAGGTTAGCACGCTGCACTACGAATCCCGCAATCCAAGTTCAGTTCCCACTCGTGACTAACGCCGGTGACGATTATCCCGGACCAGCACTGTGCCTCCTCTCAGTGTGTTCAGCCTTAAATGAGTATCTGGTGCCACATGGAAACATCGCCACGAGGGAGACAAAGGTGGCCCGGGCATGTTGTTAGCCACCGAGCCCCCTCGTGTGTCGTGCCGGCCTTCATAGGTGCTCGCTCTGTTTTTTTCGAGGCTATATGGCGCATCTTTGTCTTTCTCTTTGCTTGGTCCTGTGTAGCACGACGGCTGTCATGGATGTGTTGAACAACCACCAACAGAAGTCGACCGTCGACGACTTCCGCTACTTCGACTGCGGAGCGAACGTGACTCATCCCGTGCCTATCCACATGAAGTCGTGGCTGCCAAAACTCTACTAATGACCCCCCCCCCCTTTCTCTCCGGCTCATTAGTACTGACCAATAATCATCGTCGACACATAGTCACTTGAATTTGTTGGACAGATCGTTCAAGATTGCCACGTTATTTTTTCGTTAAAGTTGTAAGCAGTAGTTGTATTTGTTTAATCCAGGGGAGGGGAACGTCCGGCCCGCGGGCCGTATAAGGCCCGAGAAGTCATTTGGTGTGGCCCTGCCAAGGCAACCGCAGGCGGGACTCGAAATTCAATAAAACTAGGAGCAAACCTGGAAAAGCAGTTGCGAGTAGCAGCATCATCAATACCAGCTAACATCACCACGCCTCGCCAAAGAGAAGCAGTTCCAGCCATCACATTAGGGGTGAGTTAATTAAATGTTTGACCAAATATAACGGGCTAATTTTTAAGTTGATAATTTTGTATGGCCCGCGAATGATGTTGTAAATATCCAAATGGCCCTTGGCAGAAAAAAGGTTCCCCACCCCCCCTGGTTTAATCTAACGTGAGAAATCTGCGATGACCATTGTTCCACCTCGGAGCCCGAGCCTACATGGACTGGTGTTCCCAGGCAGGCTCCCATTCGTGTACGGATCAGACTGTGAAATACACCTTAGCTACCGATAGGGCACGTTTAGGTTGAGTTTGTCAACTGCTTTAGGCCCCCCCCTGGAGGCTGGTGCAAATCCGGTAGCGCCTCTTTGCAGGCCAAAATATTTCCAACGTATTTAGGACGACAGTTGTTTACAGAGGGGTAGTGTTTGTAAGAGGGCACGCAATCCAGCTGTGTCCGCCCTGTGTCTCGGGTCGCACCGCGTGTTGTTCGGCGCGATGCCCGACGTTTAGTTTCACTTTTTAGGAGCTTCAGGTACAGCCTAAACAATGCATCAGGGAGAGCTACAGGATGAGGCAGAAAACTCTATGCAATAGGAGGATAAGCACACTGCTGGAGGTCACTTTATAAAGTTTGCAGCATATCTGCTCTTTTTGATTCAAGACTGGCTAATTTATGCGTTGGGTGCTGCTTTTTTATCGTGCATAATTACGCAAGACTAAATGGTTTTCTGTTAATTGCATGTGTAATTGTATTCTTGGAGCATTATTTACCACATTTGTGTGCGAGATTGTTGAGAGTGAAAGCGAATCCAGGATGTGATGTGATTTTAAGCTAGTTTTCACTGCACGTACTGCGTCAAAAAATACGTCACTTTCTATGCACGTGTGGTCCTGGAGAGAGCATTTTCTGTTACTGTTTTTCAATAAATTTTCACTGGTGACCATTTTAAAGACGCATACCGTGTACAGTGCATGCTTCCTGTGCAAATCAAAATTGTTTACGTTTACCCGAACGTTTCGGGTCATGTTGTTCTCATCGGGTTCCCCCGTCACTGACACTCGCCAGCACTCGCATCTTGCCCGACCCAAATATCTCACCGTTCCGTGGCGTCAACAAGAAACCTCCTGATTTGAAGCTTTCGTGACTGCAGGAATCTGTCTTCTTTGGTTATTTCGGTAAAGTCACGTAAGTAGAAAATAAATATTTCGGTAAAGTCACGTAGATATAAAATGAAAAATTATTTTATACCTACGTCACTTTACTGAAATATCCAAAGAGTAATGAAACCTCCGACTCCTGACCGCACAGAACTGGCCCCAGACGTTTCCCAGTTCCGACCCGCTCCCCTCCCATCTCCCATCAGCTGTGTGACCGCAGCAGCGTCGGGAGTCCTTGCCATCCAACGGGATCCTGCTCGCGGACACATTCTCCGCTATATATATCCCCGTAGTCCCCGGGCAGCAGAGGTGGTGGGGTGGGGGTCTGCAGCCAACCTTGCCGTGTCCACAGCGCGGGCCACACACTCGACCGAGACGCTCGTGCCCCGCGTGTCCTTCATTGCTGTGTCCACCTCTTCGAAGCAGCGAACTCGTCTTTTGTCGTCCACGTGTCCCATCGCCATGGCCACCATGGACAAGAAGCTCCTGGAGAATATTTCCGCGTCGGGACGCTCCATCGGAGTCCTGACCAGCGGTGGAGATGCGCAGGGTGAGAGCGGGGTTCAGAAGCGCCCGTGCCGCGTTTGTGCCAGTGCTGGGTGGGCTACCGCAGCGGGCTAAGATGCTTATAAATAACAGGAGAGATGGGGTTGAGATATTGAAACGGTGCTCTAACGCAGGTTGATGCGAAAATAATGACAATGTTTATCACTTTTGTTTTGGATATTAATATTTTGCTTATTTAATTAACAAAAAATTGTTTGGTTAACACTACCCTAACTCTAAAATCTAAATTCCCCCCCCCCCCCCTCCTTTAAAAACATGTATAGTTGCGTTTAAAAAAACTTTTTCTGTTCCGGTAACAGGATTATTTTTTTATTACTAGTATTTACGGAGAGAAGTTAATGCGTTTTGTCACCAGGGAGATGGGGAGCTGGGTGGTCGGCGCATCTGTTTGCATCGGCTGAGTGGTCCCTTGGACCAAACAATTTGAGACTCGAGAGGAAGCTGTGGCAGAGGGAACGTGAATCTCCAATGTGAATTTACTGAGATGATCGCCGCATGGAGGTTTGTGCGCGCGCGCCCGTCTGCGTCCATCAGGTATGAACGCGGCTGTGCGCGCCGTGGTGCGGATGGGCATCTACGTGGGAGCCAAGGTGTACTTCATATACGAGGTGAGCGGGTGAGCATTCCTGGCCACAAAGGTGAGCACCAAAGATGCAATCAGGCAGCAGCAGCAGTAGCAGCTAATTGGCACAAGAACCCGCGTCGCGAAAGCAATTGACTCAGTCAATGTCACAGTAAAAAAAAACTTTTAAAAGTTTACAGAACAAGACTTTACACAAACGGAATTGGCCAAAGATCCCAACACAAGAACGCTTCCTGAAAAAATAGTCATCAGATTCAGTGACGCTTCTCCTGGGTTAAATACAGTGAGGGAAAAAAGTATTTGATCCCTTGCTGATTTTGTACGTTTTCCCACTGACAAAGAAATGATCAGTCTATAATTTAATGGTAGGTTTATTTGAACAGTGAGAGACAGAATAACAACAAAGAAATCCAGAAAAACGCACGTCAAAAATGTTATAAATTGATTTGCATTTTAATGAGGGAAATAAGTATTTGACCCCTCTGCAAAACATGACTTAGTACTTGGTGGCAAAACCCTTGTTGGCAATCACAGAGGTCAGACTTTCTTGTAGTTGGCCACTAGGTTTGCACACATCTCAGGAGGGATTTTGTCCCACTCCTCTTTGCAGATCTTCTCCAAGTCATTAAGGTTTTGAGACTGACGTTTGGCAACTCGAACCTTCGGCTCCCTCCACAGATTTTCTATGGGATTAAGGTCTGGAGACTGGCTAGGCCACTCCAGGACCTTAATATGCTTCTTCTTGAGCCACTCCTTTGTTGCCTTGGCCGTGTGTTTTGGGTCATTGTCATGCTGGAATACCCATCCACGACCCATTTTCAATGCCCTGGCTGAGGGAAGGAGGTTCTCACCCAAGATTTGACGGTACATGGCCCCGTCCATCGTCCCTTTGATGCGGTGAAGTTGTCCTGTCCCCTTAGCAGAAAAACACCCCCAAAGCATAATGTTTCCACCTCCATGTTTGACGGTGGGGATGGTGTTCTTGGGGTCATAGGCAGCATTTCTCCTCCTCCAAACACGGCGAGTTGAGTTGATGCCAAAGAGCTCCATTTTGGTCTCATCTGACCACAACACTTTCACCCATTTGTCCTCTGGATCATTCAGATGTTCATTGGCAAACTTTAGACGGGCATGTATATGTGCTTTCTTGAGCAGGGGGACCTTGCGGGCGCTGCAGTATTTCAGTCCTTCACGGCGTAGTGTGTTACCAACTGTTTTCTTGGTGACTATGGTCCAAGCTGCCTTGAGATCATTGACAAGATTCTCCTGTGTAGTTCTGGGCTGATTTCTCACCATTCTCATGATCATTGCAACTCCACGAGGTGAGATCTTACATGGAGCCCCAGGCCGAGGGAGATTGACGGTACTTTTGTGTTTCTTCCATTTGCGAATAATCGCACCAACTGTTGTCACCTCACCAAGCTGCTTGGCGATGGTCTTGTAGCTCATTCCAGCCTTGTGTAGGTCTACAATCTTGTCCCTGACATCCTTGGAGAGCTCTTTGGTCTTGGCCATGGTGGAGAGTTTGGAATCTGATTGATTTCTTCTGTGAACAGGTGTCTTTTATACAGGTAACAAGCTGAGATTAGGAGCACTCCCTTTTAAGAGTGTGCTCCTAAACTCAGCTCTTTTATACAGGTAACAAGCTGAGATTAGGAGCACTCCCTTGAAAAGTGTGCTCCTAATCTCAGCTCGTTACCTGTATAAAAGACACCTGGGAGCCAGAAATCTTTCTGTTTGAGAAGGGATCAAATACTTGTTTCCCTCTCACTGTTCAAATAAACCTACCATTAAAATTATAGACTGATCATTTTTTGTCAGTGGGCAAACGTACAAAATCAGCAGGGGATCAAATACTTTTTTCCTTCACTGTACATGCTTGTGAAGAGAATACGGGACTTTAAAATCAGGAAGAGTCTGCACCATCGATACATCTGTATTCTGAACATTATTTATTTTCCTTTTAAACATGAAAAAAAGCAGTCGGTTTTTTGTTTAACCACAATCAGAAATGTCACAATATAATTATCATGCAGCCTTCACGGCGTGCCTGTATTGAAGTCGACATGGCCTGTAATCGGCAGCGCGAGTCGCCGCTCCGAACCGATAGCGTGTTGCTGATTGTAACGTGCTTTTGAAGAGCACCGCATCTCTGCAAATTAAAACCACCTCGGAGGTTGGAGACGCGCAAGTTTATGTGGGCAGTGCGCCACGCCTGCAATTGCGCATCTCTGGGGGGGGGTCTCTCCGGGGGGGGGGGGTCTCTACGGGGGGGGGCTCTCTTGGGGGGGGTCTCTCCGGGGGGGGGGGGGGGGTCCCAGGCGCGATCCAGAGGACGCTGCGGCCCCGTGACTCCACTGTCGGCGTCACGTTCACCGGGACTTTGTTGCAGTGACAGCTTGAGAAGGGGGGGGGGGGGCTTTCGTTTTTTGTTTGTTTTATTAAACCTCCCCCCGGTGGAGATTAAACTGCTCGCCGCGTGCAATATAATAACTCTGTACAATAACTCAATACAATAACTCTGTACACTAACTCTGTACATTAACTCTGTACACTAACTCTGTACATTAACTCTGTATAATAACTCAATACAATAACTCTGTCCAATAACGCAATACAATAACTCTGTACATTAACTCTGTATAATAACTCAATACAATAACTCTGTACAATAACTCAATACAATAACTCTGTACAATTACTCTGTACAATAACTCAATACAATAACTAAATACAATAACTCTGTACAATAACTCAATATAATAACTCTGTACAATAACTCTGTACATTAACTCTGCCCAATAACTCAATGCAATAACTAAATACAATAACTCTGTACAATAACTCTGTGCCGTTGAGTGGGTAGATTTTTTTTTTCTCCAAAGAAACCCGGGTTTTTTTTACCTTTGCTAACGAATGACGGTGAATCATATTCAACAACAACAACAAACTCATTTTCATGACAACTCAACCAGACACTTTGCGCCAACAGCTGCATCACTGCAGTGTTGCACGGCTCATACATTTGCATAATTCGCCGGTTCTACTTAAAGTCATCCTACGAGCAGTAACGGACTGGATCGTAGTTTTTAACACACAACGTGCACCTCCGATTAGCACGGTTGGCTACGTGCGGTGCGAAAGAAGTTCAACAAACGTGCATGCAACGTCGCATATCCGACTCGCTGGGGACTGATGTGTCGGCTGATCTGTGAATATCACCGTGCAAAACCGGGGCCATATAATAGGGCCCACGTATAAACAAACAAAAATGACCATTTTTAATTTTAGTTTCAGACTCTGCCTTATCGACAGACCTGTTTTCCACCTGAAGACGGCTTCTTGCGTTGTGGCCGAAACGTCGTGAGAATTATTGTTATGTTTTATTTTTATTATTTTATTACCTCCCTTCTACGTGACTTTACCGAAATAACCAAGAAGAAAAAAATGACCATGTTATTTTTATATTTGTATGATAACACATTTTTGTTTACCAAGATATCTTCTTCAATAAATCTATTTATATAGTAAGGATAGTCGCAGAGTTTCAAATTCAATCAGCTTATCTGCGCCACACGGCGAACGAGGGCCCAGACTAAATGATGAACGGCGTCAGCGGTAGCGACGTCTGTCCAAGCGGCTAGACGAT